ATATGATGAATTCCCTATTATGTAGAGCGAGGGTGGGGAATCATGGCCCCTTTATGACTTGTGGACTTCAACTCCCAGAATTTCTGAGCCAGCCATGCTGGATCAAGAATTCTGGGAGTTGAAGTCCACAAGTCTTAAAGGGGCCATCGTCCCCCCACCCCTGATATAGTGGATCATTTCCCAACTCTTTTTTCCCCCGTATCCTCAAGTCAGTGTTGTCGCCTATCTTCTGTGCCTTCACGTCCCCAAATGGCATCTCCTCTTGATAGCTTGATCACTGATCAAAAAAGGTTACAAGGCTTCAAGCGAAGTTGCCTTGTGCCACAGGTAATACAAAGGAAGGTTCTGCTGTTCAGAAGAATTTGTCGTTTTTTTGTTCACCAAAGGAAACAGCAGCAATGCAGAAGTAGCATCCTACACCATTGCCACTTCCCAGCAGCTAAGTGGCTATATTACTACATGCCCCATCATCCTGAGCCTTCCTACTTTCCCATTAATTGGCGCAAGCTTTATACAACCAATCTTCTCTTTTTTACCCCTTCCTTCTGCTGCTTGCAGAGATTTAATTATCAGAGAAACTGAGCCAGTGAGTTACCAAATGCTAGTTGATTCACTGTAGCCCACGACAGCGTGGCATCCCAATGCTTTCGCATGGGATTTGATTTCTTGACGAACTTCTGCCCACCAGGCATCCCGTGTTTCCGGGTCATCTGAAAGATACAGAGCACATCCGTTTACTATTCAGCAGAGATGCAGAATGTTTGGTTAAAGCAGAGACATTAACTAAAGGCTGGTTAACTTGTTTAAGCTAGCATAAGACCTCGGCAACATCCTGTTTCTTCTTCTGCCAGCCAATTCAGACAAGGGTGGCTACTTCCGTGGGGTGGTGATTTCATGCAATCGAAGCTAGTCCATTTCTCTTTGGATTCTCAGAGAATGCAAGAGCTCAAGGATGCGATTTCCATACTTACAAGTTTTGCTCAAAACACCATTTACAGGCAATCCTTGACTTACAACCACAATTGAGCCCAAAATCTCCACTGCTAAGCAAGACAGTTGATAAGTGAGTTTTGCCTCATTTTACGACCTTTCTTGTCACGGTTATTAAGTGAATCACTGCAGTTGTTAAATTAGCGGCACAATGGTTAAGTGAATCCAGTTTCCCCATTTGACTCTGCTGGTCAGAAGGTCGCAAAAGATGATCGCATGAACCCAGGACACTAAATATGAGTTGCCATCTAAATATTCACTAAATATTCCGTTGCTATCTGAATTTTGATCACATGACCATGGGGAAGCTGAAACAGATGTATAAAAAATGGCCATAAGTCGCTTTTTTCAATGCTGTTGTAACTTCGAACAGTCACTAAATGAATGATTGTAGTCAAGGATCACCTGTATTAGGCTAAACCTCTCAAGCGACACACCAAAGTGTGTCTACGAAACAAACGGCAGCATCTACAACTACAAACTCATTTTCAGTCAGCAAATCTCAGTATTAAAAGTCCACTGTCACAACGTGTTTCCCTTGGATCATCTTTTTTTTTTTTGAAAAAGCAAGGAGATAGATTGTAAGATAAATTAAGAGTTTGGATGATTTGAATAACAGTTTAACTTTGTCATGATTAAAAAAGCAGAGTGAAATTTGGAGATTTAAAAAGCACTGAACCATACAGCTCACTTGATGGAAAAGAAGTTTTTAAAACTCTCTGGGCAAACTTAACATTCTTACATGAGCCCAAATAATTAATTGTCCTTGTTTTTGTGTGTTTAACTGAGTTGACAAATACCAACACCTCGATCACCAAAAGACTTATGAGATATTCTGTTTATACTTTTAATCTCACAATGGAAAAAATACTGAGGTGTTAGGTTAATGCTGAATAACTCTATTGCTTATTCTGGGAAAATATCAATAAAGAAAATACATTTAATACATGTATTAAAATATGTATTCAGAATATTTTTAAACTAATAATGTTATAACCGTAACCCAATTTTAAGTTGCCACATTAAAGGCATACCATGTTGAATTAGCTTCATGTTAAAATTTCAAACCTGACCTCTTAATGTTTTCAAAAGCATACACTTTTTCAATATTTGCAAAGATGTACCAAGTTTTTTTGTTTTTTTTTTTTGGGGGGGGGGGGCATTTCAGAAGAACCTTTGTTTGTTTAAATATCTTATATATGAACTTGCAGTGATATTGGAGGAAGCTGCTTGTAATTTCCAGAGACAATGGAGACCTACACAAGCCAAACTTGTTTTTAAATTGTTAAGAAAAGTCAGCTTGTAATAGAGGCCTTCCTAGCCTAGATAAAATAATTTTGCAGCAAAATCTAAATTGCACAATGACATATGATTTAGATGGGACTTTGGGTTTTTTTTTCTCAAAACACATTCCTGAAGAAATCATCAGGTTGCACAAAATTCCTAAATGAAAAATCATTGTTTCACTCACTCCACAATTACATCATAGACCCAAATTTATTTTAACTGTCTTGAGATTCATCTTTTTTCTTTTAGAAGAATATTTTTGAAATACAAAGTAGTACTTTAGATCTTATAAGAGACTAGTACTTGAGGGTCAACAGAATAGACTTAAATGTACTTAATGTGAAAGGTTTTAGAAATTTTAGAAAATGACAATGTAGTTTTAATCTATTTCAGATTATTAAAAATTATGTCAATTTTATAAAGGACATATCTGATAGAACAAGATAAAAGCTCTGATGTGGTTTTATAGTGCATTTCCTTAATACTTCAAAGCAAGGTGAGGCAGGTAGCTGCCCTGACTCATAAACATTTTTTTCTCTTCATGCTCAACAAGGTGTAACTGGTAATTTTAGTTGATAAAATATGATTATGATGTTTATCTAACAAACTCCGTTATCTTTTGCAATTTTCAATATTTGTTATGACTATTATCAGACCTGGAGATTTTAATATTAGTTTCTGAATGAGGTATATACTCAACCATAAAAGATAATAATTACTGTAATTACTGTAATTACATCATAATAGATAAGTGAAATTTGATCCGTGGCATTTCTTGCATCTTAAACTGAGGGAATATGCTTTATACTCAGCAATGAATCAGATTTTGGGAGTGTGGGTTATGTTTTGGATTCTTTAACATTATTTCAAAACATTCACATGTGCATAATTGAAAATTATGATTTATCAATTTACAACTGAATCAGCTTAAACTTACAATTATAATAGTTTATTACAACACCCAAAAGCTCACATTTCAATGTATTTTCACTGAATTTATTTGATTTTAAAATCTGTAAATTATAAAGAATTGGTAGGAATGGCTAGTTACTTAATTTCTGAATGCAACGCGTATATGTGTATTATTGCACACAAACCCCTCTGGTGTGCAGATGATGAGATGTCTCACTACCACCTTATACAAAGAAATAAAAGAAACTAAATATGATTTAAATAATATCTTACACAGCAAACTGAATTAAACATGTTTTCATTAAAAATAGTGAGAAAATGGTGAAAACCCTGGCAAGATATTGGCAAACCATGTGAAGTATATATTAAGTTGATATATATTCACAGATTTATTAGTACCGTGTTTCTCCAACAATACGCTCCCCCCAATAGAAAGACACAGCATGTTTTCTAGGCATAAAATGAAATTAAGCCCCTTCCCTCCAAATTTAGGCCTAGTTTAAAACATGTGAAATTGGGGGGGGGAGGCGGGGGGGAACTTGCCATTAGGAGTGCCCCGCCGGCAGCTACGCCTCACCATCAGCCGCTCCTAACAGCCAATCATGGTGGAGCACAGAGGGCTCCCTTACCCGGGTCAGCAGGCGGGCGGCGTCGGCATGGATGTCCGGCAGCGTTTCAGCTGCTTCTCAGGCCTCCGTAGCTTCCACGGTTCCCACCGGTGCTGGCGCCTCTCTCGCCAGCGCTGTCTCCAACAACAATATCTGAGTTGCTCCCACTTTTCCCCCGTCCCCGTAACAACAAGAAAAAAAAAAAGATTTTGAGGTACCTGGGAGCGGTGCGCGCTGCATTTTGGTTTAATCCTGAGCGGCTGGGTGGGCGTGAGAAGAGCCGAGCGAGCGTCTCTGCTGCTGTTACCCTTGGTGCTCCAGCCTCGGGCTCTGCAAGTTTGCAAAAGTCCCGGTGCACAGCCCGTTCCTGCATTCCAAGTGTCCAGGCTGAGCTGCAGCTGTCCCTCTCTCGCCAGCGCCGTCTCCAATAACAGCGGCAGCAGTGGCGGGAACCGTGGAAGTGTTTCAGCCACTTCTCGGGTGGGGGAGCTACCTCCGTAACTTCCACGGTTTCCGCGACTTTTGCAAACTTGCAGAGCCCGAGGCTGGAGCACCAAGGATAACAGCAGCAGAGACGCTCGCTCAGCTCTTCTCATGCCCACCCAGCCACTCGGTATTAAACCAAAACGCAGCGCTCCGCGCTCCCAGGTACCTCAAAAAATTTTTTCCTGTTGTTACGGGGACGGGGGGAAAGCGGGAGCAACTCAGATGGTGTTGTTGGGGAGGGGGCGGGGGGGGGGGGGGGGGGGGGAGAAGAAATTAATTCACCCCCGAAAAGACGTCCTAGCCGTTTTTTCGAGGCTCAAAAAAAAATAAGCCCCGGCCTTATTTTGTGAGAAACACGGTAGCTAACATATGGGCTTTCCCAAAATATGTTACATTCAGGATCCAGCTAAATTGTTAAAATTGAAAATTTGAAAGTTTTGGGAAACCGAGTTAGCTTCACTCTGTGCTGAAAATAACATGTAAAGAGGGAAACACCTGAAAATAAAATACTTTTGAGATTTAAATATACTTTCTTGGAAATGAATTTTCTCCTGCATGTTTTAAACTTTACTGGATTTTATCCCCACCCTCCTCCTGCTAATTAATGGAGGGAGGAAATCATATAAACAGAATGTAATGCATATTTACATACAATAGACACAAACTTACCTTTGCATGTCAAAAGATAAATAATGACTTAATAAAAACCAAGGTACCACAACATGGCAGGCGTCGTTTATACCAAACATGGGAACGCAACGCAATGTAATAGCATTCGCTTTGGTTTTCAGACACAGTGATTCACAAGCAGCTTTTTTCTTCCTTTGGGGTTTTGACACATGAGCCACACAGATTCACAGGGCAACCGCTATCAGAGCATTTACACATCGAAGTAAAGCTACATAGACAGTCCAGAAATTGAGGGGGGGGAGGGGCAGCAGGATGGCATGTGTCCAGCACACTTCCACAAGGGCATCGTCACCTGTTGTGTTCCAGGCTACAGCGGAAGCTTACAGAAGAGCTTGCAAAGCAGAGTCAGCAGACGGGAGCCAGAAACAGTGGATTGTTTGGCGCATGCTTGGGTCAATGACGGTTCAGACTTAAAAATATGGCAGCTCACTGAAATGGTTACAGAAAGAAATGGCCCTGAAGTCTTGGTGAAAGCAGAAGGCAAGCAAACATAGCACCCACTCACAAGCTTTTCTAGCAAAAATCTGGTTCGGTAAATTAAGTCTAGAAAGGGTTACCAAAAAATGTTGGGGAAGATTTATTTAAATTGTCTGCAAATGGAGTTTTTGATGTTACTGCTTGGAACAGCAGGGGAAGACAGGGGTATTAGAACTGTGCAAAACGAATACAACTGAGAAATTCCTGATGTTTAAAATCAGCCGGCAGCAAGTGAGAATAATAAACCAGTGGAAGAGCTT